GTGTGCACATTTCCCAAAATAGTATGTCTGATTCGAGAATATTGTCAACTTATGATTTATTATGACCTTCAATTTTGTAATGTTAAAACTGTATATTATATTAAGTTTTATTTTATCGGGTGCACATATAAAAGCGAAAAAAAACTAAATTTAAAGGGCAATGGTCTTTAATACATTAAAAATTCGAAATAGATCTCATTTGGAGTGAAATCTTGATTGTTGATTTATTTTATTTTTCCTAAGAAATCAAATAGGTTCATCATAATACGAACCCGTTTAGTATAACTGTATTAAATATGATATTCCAACAAAGTAGTTAAAAAAGATCAGACTCTTAGTCTTAAAACCGGTCAAATACAAAAAAATATTTGATAATTTTTTTTACTTTCAACTTATATTTTAACTAACTTTAAAAAAAATATGTTTGGATCTAGTAAAGCATGACATTCCCATCCGACAAGACCGAATTAACAACATTTATATTTTTTAAATAATTTTTCATATATATATATATATATTTAATAAGAAAACATAATTTTAATTAACTAGAAAAAGGGCCTAATAAATGTTATTTTATAAACCAAAGTACAACTGTGATAAATATAAACTTTCAATTTTAAAAATTTTGATTAACACAAATGCAACTCTACAACTTTCAAAAAATACTTTAGGCTAAATTAAAAAATAAATATGTCATCAATTGAATCAATCCATGAAATAGTAAAAAATTAAAAAAAATTATAATGTCATCTTTAAAAAAAATGTTAGTACCTAACTAGAAAAATAGTTTTTTATGTCTGATTAAAAAAACTAAAATTTGAAATTGGGTGCTCGTTCTATAATGAGCGTCTGAATTTAAACTATGAAAAAAAGGTATTATTAACTATCGCCGTTCTCAAGCTAGAGATACATGGAATAAACTTTTATGATATACTGACACCTACTCTCAAACATATCCCTGTCTTAATATTTTTCGTTACTAGAATTCTATAGATTGGCGACATTTAAAAAACCATACGCCATACATTTCAGCAATGTATTTGGAAAACTCCATAATAATACTATTCATGCGCGTTAGTCTAAAACGGGGCATGTGCAAACAATGTATGCATGTCTGTTTGTTTTTGCGCAGAGCACCTACCGTTTCACGCACTACGAGTGACAAATCTAAATTAATTAAGACATTTTGAATTTCGTTACAGACCACGGGGGTCTTATTCTCGTTTTGCCAAGTGAACATTGTCACGGCTACAATACAGATTCGACATGGACAATCTTTTTATCATAAAAATCATGATTGCGTTGACCGTTGTGTGCACGAAACACGAGACGAGGAGTGACGGCGCACTTTCTGTCGAACTAAAATTCCACGTCAACTATATTTGCAAACAAGAACATTGGAAAGACATGCGGTTCGTTAAGCTCCACTGCGAATTGGGCCGGATAAATAAGACGGACATATCTAGTCAGAGTAGCGCTTTAAGGTCAATCGATAAGTTGAAAATTGTCCCTTACGTGATGGGATGCGCTTACGGACCACAACTATACGACTTTCTCTCGTTAACAATTTATACAGGTGATGTGTGCAAAGGTCTATCGCCAACGGTGGTCGCTGACGATTGTTGGAATAAGCTCAAAGCTAGTCTCGATTATGGTGCGTCTACAGTATTTGAACTGTTGCGCACACTTGAGCTGATACATTCTTCTGACGAAAGTATAATTCCAAGTCCATATTACGGAATCCTGTCGTCGATTCGAAGTTTCCTCGAAACAAATGACCCTCGCGGCAACTACAGAGACGAAGAAATAAACGGCGCAAGACAAACCATGATTCTGGCTAATTACTTGGAGAACATTTTCAACTCAAAATGTGAGCCAAACCACGGTTTCTTCATAATAGACAACTTGACGGATGAGTATACAAAGCAAAACGCTACAAGTAGTCTCTACGATTTTTATGTAAGCAGATTGAATTCTTACTCGACACACATACGCAATCACTTGCGCCACCTTGGTTTTCATTACAACCCGCACATTGACAGAGTGGGTTTTTCTACACCTGCCGAAAGTGAGTAATATCAGTTAATTCGGCTGTACGGAAACTCGGATAAGATAACAATTTTAATGTTTTTTCTCGTTCTAAAAATTTTCATGTTAACGTGTTATACTACTCTATAATTTGTATTGTAATATATATCACCTATAACAATTTTATTTGGATTTATTAGTTTCAATCTATTAAAAAAAAAAAGGAATAAAAATTAAGTCTTTTAAATGGACTCTAGATGTTTTTATTGATTTTGTTTTTTTCAATATTAAGCATTATTAATTTTAGATTAAGTGTATTTAAAACGTATCTAATGCCTTATTAAGAAATTTAAAGAACTGAAAAAAATTCACCAAAAGGGTTGACAGTGTTGCAATTCATATGGGTACTTACAAACTTTGCTCAGTCATATTTTACATAATATTATAAGATCATATCTTAAAGGTACTTATAGGGCCGAACATTTAAAAAGTCCTACCCTTCCCTTTCAAACTACAGAGACACGACCAACAAAATGTATACATCTTACAATTTAAAACTATGGTGATTTTTAACTTTTTCAAAATATCCGATAGGTATAGACTGTTCATTAGATCTAGTAGGTATAGAAACTTTTTCTTTATTTCTCTATCATAAGTGAAGTTAGTGGTTTGAAACCAGACTGTTCGATAGTGAGGCTATAACATACTACAATTTTGTTCAAATTTTGAAGTCAAATATTCTATTTTTTTTATTTATAAAGAATAAAACAAAAAAAAGTGAAATCACACACTTGCAGTATCAAGTTTTGGGTAGCTAAGGAAACAAACTTGTAATACCAAACAAACAATCCTATAAAAACCTTATTATATTTTAAAAGCTTTTACCTGTTCTTAATATTTCTACCATGTACAGATTCACATCAAAGTGCTTTTTTTTAAGTGATTATTACATTTATTTCAATAACTTCGAAGTCCTAAGACCTTGTCGATTCCTATATTATGCTTCTTCCCCACTGTGCTATGATAGTTTATACAAATTAATCAATAATTGTGTTCCTCGTGTACACTTTAACGTGGTACACGTGAGTGCATTATTAATTTCGTGGTAGTATAAAATTTGACGTTTAAATCACTTTCAATAGTTATAACAATCTTATGCAAACAATGTGTGCGTGTCTGTTTGTTTTTGCGCAAAGTACTGTTAAACGTGGCCCAAATATAATTAATTTTAACATTTTAGTTTTCGTAATAACATAGGCAGGTCGTATTCTAAAAGTTCTAATATCTACACGGTTTAACATGGAAAAACGATTTATCATTAAGTTCATAATTGCGTTTGTCGTCGTCGAGACGAGTAGTGATAGTGTACTGTCTCTTGATCAAACGAATCTTGCCAACTATGTTTGCAGAGATGAACATTGGAGAGGAATGCAGTTCGATGCGTTCCACTGCGAATTGGGCTGGATAAATAAGGGTAATGTAAATAGTAAAGCTGTCGCTTTTAGTCCGCTCGATAAGTTGAAAATGTTCCCTTACCTGATGGGATGCGGTTACGGACAAGAATTGTATGACTTTCTTTGGTTAACATTTCATACAGGCGATGAGTGCACCAGTCAATCAGAAAAGCTCGACGCAAACGATTGTTGGGGTAAGCTCAAGGCTAGTATCGAATATGGTGCGTTTACTATGTTGGAACTGATGCGCACACTTCAGCTGATCCATTCTTTTGACCAAAGTGTAATTCCAAGTCCGTACTACGGAATTCTGTTTTCGATTCAGAGTTTTCTCGAGACATATGACCCTCGTAGGAAATGTAGTGATGAGAAACTAGATGACACAGAACAAACCCTAGTTCTTGCCAATGCCTTAGGGTACATTTTGAGGTCAAAATGTGAGCCAGAACATAGTTACCTCATAATAGACAACTTAATGGATGAATATACAAACCAAAACGCTATATTTAGTCTCTACGATTTTTATGTAAACAGATTGAATTTTTACATATCCTACATAAGCAATCACTTGCTTAAACTTGGTTTTCATTACAACCCTCGCACAGACGTAATTAGTTACATTCTTCCTATTCACAGTGACTAACATCAGTAAATTTTTGTATAGAAAAATTGTAACTTGAATTAAAATTGTAATTAATTGCATTAATTGTGTCTTGTTAACGTGTTGTACCACTATTACTTATAAAGCATAATTTGTTTTTTTTTTTTTGGGCTAATAGAAAAATCTATTGTAACAATTATTTTCAGATTTATTAGTTTTAATGTACTAAATTAATTTAATTAAAATCGACATTGTGATAAATATAAACTGTGTTTTTATTGATTTTATAATTTCTTATAAAGTATCAATAATTTTACGTTAAGATCACTAAAAAACTTATTATTTAAGTACTGAAAAACATGCATTGGAGTGTTTGACAGTGGTAAAATTTAATTTTTTAGACCATTGCTTATTTTTTTCGGTTGATACAACGTGAAAGTAGATATTTAATATAAAATCGCATATAAATTAGTACTTTCATAGATTTATATCAAAATTAAAATTATAAAAACTGACACTTTTAAGAATAATATATATTGGCCCAAACTATGTCAATGGTACACTATGCATAAATATACCAAACCTATTTAGTAGTTGTACTAGTTATCTCTAGTGCATTTTACCAAACACATTGTACATTTAGCTTTACTTTACCTTGGTTTTAAATATAGGTATAATAATAGTTTTCGTTTTGTAGTTGATTTAACTAAAAAGGAAGGACTGTTGATTTTTAACATTACAACTAAATAATACGTTTTTAAATGTTAAAACAAGATTGTAGAAAACAAATGCTAAATAAAGCTAAATAGCTAACTTTTATAAGTATTTTTCTCGTGTTAGATAAATGCAACAGTATGTCTCTTATTCGAAAAAAGATACAGTATTAGGAGTAAAATAAATAAACTTGTACCATGTAATTAACGGAAAAGCTGGTTTATTGATTGATTTTTAAACTCTACATGTCAAGTTTTTATACATTGGACATAATATCCGGTTGGTCTATGGCATTTTTGAGGTGGAGAAATGTGAGTTCAATTAACAGCTCTGGAACAAATAAATACAATTCTTTAGTTAATAATGTACCAATTGAATACAAGTGAAATAACTTTAAATATCTAAATACTACATAAATATTACATAAAAAAATAAATTCAACTATGTTGAACTTCTAGAAATTTAAATGCAATGTATTGTGTTATTTTAAATACGACTATGTTGTAAAGTGTGGTAGCTTTAAGTAAAAAAAACACAATTTTATAGGAGTGCGGTTGTAGTTAAGATGTAAGAACCTCTCACAGTTTCAATTTCAGCTAGATTTTTATTAGCATTTACAATATAACTCGAGAAAATATTTAAATTTTAACTACTAAGAAAAATTCAAACTTTTAAGTAAGCGCATTTTTTTTTTTTTAGTGAATAACATAAAAAAAAAATATATAATTGTAATTTGGTTAAAAAAAAACAGATATATTTGAAAAATAGTCATAATAGTTTTGAAGTTATGACGATTTAATAATGAATAGCTCCATACGAACCACTTTGAGTTGTCCTAGAAGGCTAATATTTTAGGCTTAAAAATTGAATAGAATCGAACAATACTAAAATTCTAAGCTAAAGTGTACTCAAATATTAAAGAAAAATAGGGATGAGGCCCGTAAGTTATTTTAAAAAGGAACATTATCGTTATCAAGAATTTAAAATATATTTAAACAAAGGTAAAATACTATTACTAAAGCAGCTTAATTTTACTCTTACCATATTGTATTGAGATACTTGGGGTTGGACCTTGGTGACGGTTTTGGCGGATTTGGCGGATTGCACTTGTCCGACGACAACGATGTTCATGGATACTTTTTCTGCGCCCATTTTTGGTTTTGGTTGGTGGAGAGTTTGTAAAATGAAGACTAGAAACTGAAAACAACAATAATACAGTAATATTAGCTTTTTAATTTCAAACGCAAAGTATTGTATGCACGTTGAAATGAAGATATTACACTCACCAAAGTAACACTTAAAATTGCTTATGGTTAAAGTAACGAAGTAACTCGCCTTTTATACTTTCTTATGAATCTGATATTGTCTTATGGTATGTATATTGGACGATATGGCGTGTTGTTGTAGTTGTAAGTTCATTGGCCGTCGAAAGCATACGCCAACGATGGAACCAGATTGATTGATTTTGATTGGATTGACTTATAGTGGACATTAGACATAACGCGTTCTAACTTATTACTATTTATTTTTATTTAAAATTTAATCAAATAGAAACAAAATAATACTTGTTGACATTTACCTCAACTATTTTTGTTTAGATTATAAAACAATTTTAGATTTCATTAATCACTCAGCATTTCTACCATTTCTCGGTTATTGTGTTTCCTCCGGAATATCAATAGAAAATTATATTATGATATCCATTACAATATTACCGTTAAACTTTGTTAAATCAACAAAAAAAGTAAATTAATAATAAGGTCATCTGGTGTGTGGTAAACTCAATGCTTCAAACAGCGCCTTTTTACATTTAATATTAGATAATTATTAAACACTGAAATTATTGATGTTTAACTAATTAACATAAAATATGTTTTGATATTTTAATACATCATTAGGCAATAGTTAAAAGGTCACATAGTAGAGTTAAATAATACGAATCGCGTTAAGAAAATAAATATAACCGTATCTTTAGCCGTTTGTAAAACTATACATTTTAAGTTTAAACCTATAAAAATAAAAATAGGTTTTAACTTAAACTTTAAAAAGTATATATACATAGATATTTTAACAACATAAAGCCTATTATTCGGATTAACATTTTTTTGAACAATATGCATAAAATCATTGATTTCCACATCTAGATTTTATCTAGATTGGGTAGAAACTTTTTCTTTATTTCATTTGTGTTTTGTGGCTTATAGTTTTTAGGCTTGGGTCTGAAAGTTGGGCCGATAATAGTTCTATTGTTTATTTATTTAATAAAAAAGGTAATTTGAAATGTTAACTATAAAGAGCGGTTAAGCCAGCTCTAAATTAACTTATCTGTAGAACAACATTGTTATTTGAGTCAAGTCAGCCAAAAACTGGCCTTTTTTCTCAACCCTTAGGCTCAACAACCCCAACCTGGACCCAACGCCCAAGAACCCCAAAGTTTTTTTAAAGTAATGATTTATACTAGAAGTATACAATTATTAAATTTAATAGTGTATGCTATGCTCGTTAGTTATTACAAAAAATTATAATCCTTTATCAAACGCTTACATTATTTTCTAAGTAAAAAATTTGTAAATTAATTGGCCGGCTATGTGTGTTTTTTTTTAAATACAAATCGTTGTTTAACTCCAAATTCACAATGTTTAAACATGCATCCACATTAATCGTATAAAAGATGTGTACATGCGGTGTTTAAATACCACTCTTACTTCTAAAACTTTGCCCTTATTTATCCCACGTTACTCTATAATAGGGAATTATATGTAAAATTATACTTGTTTTAATTTTCATTATAATATTATGAATAATTAATTAATAGTGATTTATATATCATAATTGTTATTGCACTTTCAGAAATAATAAATTCTTAATGACCTGTGACCTTTTTGATTTATTACTACCCTTTTCTAATTATAAGTTTATTTTTATTTTGAATCAAATCCAAAAATTATAATAAAACATACTATTATTTTACAAGAATATAAACTAAAAAGTTAAAAAATAAAATACAAATTTGTCTAGGGCATGTATACATAACGATAATAACAAATTACATTCTGTAAATTGTAAATAGGCAAAGCTAAACCTATAATGAGTCAATGTATATTAAATATAGTATATTGTATAATATGCATGTAGACAGTATACTCTTTTAATTGTTGTTAAGGTAACAATTTTTTATTAGGTCGATTTGTATATTTTTTCAAAAACAGATGAGATTATTTTATCGGAATGTGATCATTGGATGTTGTTATGGTCAATGCAGCCGAACACATCACGCCACTCCACTCACGCCATATAATAAAGCATATAAATAATATGTACAATCATAGTTCAAGCATAACACAATTGTTTGTACTAAACTATCACTGGTGAGTTTTAAAACATATTTTATAATATTATTATTTTTTAGTTTTATTTAAAACATTTGAATTGCTGAATTATTATTTTTTTCAATTTTTACTATTCAATAATACTTATTATTTTTTTTTTCTATTTAATAACACTTTAATTTAATAATACTTCATTTCAACGTGCATACAATACTTTACGTTTACAATTAAAAAGCTAATATTTACTGCAATATTATTGTTTTCAGTTTCTAGTCTTCATTTTACAAATCCTCTACCAACCAAAACCAAAAATGGGCGCAGAAAAAGTATCCATGAACATCGTTGTGGTCGGACAAGTGCAATCCGCCAAATCCGCCAAAACCGTCACCAAGGTCCAACCCCAAGTTTCTCAATACAATATGGTAAGAGTAAAGTTAAGCTGCTTTTGTAATAGTATTTTACCTTTATTTAAATATACTTAAAATCTTGATAACGATAATATTCCTTTTTAAAATAACTTACGGGCCTCACCCTCACTTTTCTTTAACATTTGAGTACACTTTGGTTTAGAATTTAAGTAATGTTCAATTCTATTCAATTCTTAAGCCTAAATCAGCCTTCTAGGACAACTCAAAGTGGTTCGTATAGAGCTATTTTTTACTAAAATCGTTATAACTTCAAAACTATTTTTCAAATTTAAATAAAAGATTCTTAACGCTGACACTTGTACCTTTAAAATACTTATACGTGAATTGGTAGCTTTGTTCCGATTATTAATTAGTTACAATGACTTTTTCTACCATAAACACTGAATAAAAATATACCATTTAAATGTATCTTTAAACCATTGTTTTTAATTAAATAAAGTTGTCTATTTCAACAAAAACAGAAAGATCAAATGTCTAGAATAGCTTTTTTGAAATAAAATTGTCAGTTTTCAGAACCTTTTTTGAAATATAAGACACGACTTATTTACACGATTTAAGTATCTGTTTTTTTTAACCAAATTACAATAATATATTTTTTTTTTATGTTATTCACTAAAAAAAATTAATGCGCTTTATTTAAAAGTTTGAATTTTTCTTAGTAGTTAAAATTTAAATGTTTTCTTGAGTTATATTGTAAATGCTAATAAAAATCTAGCTGAAATTGAAACTGTACAACCGCACTCCTATAAAATTGTGTTTTTTTTACTTAAAGCTACCACACTTTACAACATAGTCGTATTTAAAATAACACAATACATTGCATTTAAATTTCTAGAAGTTCAACATAGTTGAATTTATTTTTTTATGTAATATTTATGTAGTATTTAGATATTTAAAGTTATTTCACTTGTATTCAATTGGTACATTATTAACTAAAGAATTGTATTTATTTGTTCCAGAGCTGTTAATTGAACTCACATTTCTCCACCTCAAAAATGCCATAGACCAACCGGATATTATGTCCAATGTATAAAAACTTGACATGTAGAGTTTAAAAATCAATCAATAAACCAGCTTTTCCGTTAATTACATGGTACAAGTTTATTTATTTTACTCCTAATACTGTATCTTTTTTCGAATAAGAGACATACTGTTGCATTTATCTAACACGAGAAAATACTTATAAAAGTTAGCTATTTAGCTTTATTTAGCATTTGTTTTCTACAATCTTGTTTTAACATTTAAAAACGTATTATTTAGTTGTAATGTTAAAAATCAACAGTCCTTCCTTTTTAGTTAAATCAACTACAAAACGAAAACTATTATTATACCTATATTTAAAACCAAGGTAAAGTAAAGCTAAATGTACAATGTGTTTGGTAAAATGCACCAGAGATAACTAGTACAACTACTAAATAGGTTTGGTATATTTATGCATAGTGTACCATTGACATAGTTTGGGCCAATATATATTATTCTTAAAAGTGTCAGTTTTTATCATTTTAATCTTGATATAAATTTTATGGAAAACATATACGCGTGCACACCGGTGAAAAGCCATATAAATGTGAAGTTTGCTCCATGTGTTTTTCTTCTAAAAACAACCTAATAGTACACAAACGCGTGCACACTGGTGAAAAGCCCTTCAAATGTGATGTATGCTTATAGACATTTTCTCAAAAATTCCACCTTAACATACACAAATACATGCACACAGGTTAAACTGTACAAATGTGCGGTGTGCTTAAAGTCATTTACTCGAAACTCAACTCTTAGATTACATAAATGTGTACAAGCTGGTGAATGTTTCGTGTGATGTGTGATTAAAATATTTTTCTCAGAACCTGGCACGGTACGACACAGGCTACAATAGCAGATAAATGATGTTAAATAAAGACAAGATAAAATATTTTATTTATATGTAAAAACTGATTAACTACACAGCATTTTTTTTTTTTTTTGTGATTGTTTGAAATGTATTATATACAATTTAATTCTCATTTTTAACAAAATGTATGTACACTGCATTAGCAAATTGAAAAAAAATCAGCCCAAAGATTATAGGTATGTAAATAACCATACAGTAAAACAAAATATTATATAAACTTTGCTTTGAGACTGTTAAGAAATAAACTAAATATATATAATATAAAACTTAAAGGTATAAAAAAAATATATTTTTTACAATTTTGTTTTTAATGTATTCACTTTTTGGAATCTCTGGTGGAATCAGTTGACATTGATTATTTATTCAAAAATTTCTATTAAACAACTTTTAGATAAAATTACTCTTTTACATTGGAATCTATAATATAAGAGTGACCAAAGAATTAAATGGTTCATTTATGGTTATACATCAACGAAAAATAAGTGGATGCTCTTAGTTTGATAGTCTTATACATATTACAATTATGGCTTTACACATAAAAGGACTTGCTTTCCCAAGGAGTTGAACTAAAGTTAATAAAAAAAGAAAGCCGAGTTTAAACACTATGTTATCTTTGTAAATTAGTCACAAATATAAAGTAGGTTTATTTATTATCCACCTATATACATCACTAATAGTATTATAATTTCATAAATTAGCTAATTAATCAACTTTTGAATTTTGATCTTTGCTATAACCTCATGTATGCTATTTGTTGCGCATTATATAGTGTGCCACTGTTCCAGAGACCGTACAGGTATAATACTATACATTACAATACGGGACAGTTAATGATAAGAAATCGCGACATAGCCCCCAGAAATCATAGTGATTGCCTATATCTACATAATGAGGTGTTCACAATATACTTTTTTAAATTCCAACTAAAATAAACATAAAAAAAAAAAGAAATCATTTTAAATTATATTTTATAACTTATTCTACATGTTATGATGTATATATTTGTATGTTGGTTCTTATGTTAAAAGAAAATTAAACAAATCAAATGTATTATTATAAAAATTATACGATTTATTTGTTTTATTTTCAAAACAGGCACAATTGCCTAAAGAAATAATTTACAGTGATATACATTGTATATACATTATATATATATACTTAAAAATAATACTAAAACCTACTAAGCGTAGAAAAAGATAAGTCACATTAGCACTCAGAGACGAAAAAAAGTTAAGTAAGATAGTGGGATAGTTAGTCAATGAAAAACTAATGCAAACAACTTTCTAAACAAATTAGTGACTTAAGCTTTACTAGAACAAGGATTATTATTTCAAGACTATATTCATAAAGGACTCTAGAGGTAGAATTTATTATTAGAAATTAAGTGTAACATTAAAACTAAAATGATTGAGTTAGTTAATCGTTACATACTTATAGTTCCTAATATTTGTATAAATTGTAAATTCTTATTTACAATAAGGTATTTAATACCTTAGATAAGGTATTAAATGTCACTATGAATTTTATAAAAAAATGTAATAATCAGCTACAATTTAAGACTGTAAAAAACAAAAAGTTCATAAAAAATAATGGGTTTTTAATAAAGTGTATATACAGTTAATAAATTACAAATTTATTTCTTAAACACACTATAAAATGTTGCCATCATGAAATAGATAAAATCAGAAGGGTCACTTTCAATGTAAACAAATAAGTGACGACCATTTTGTAAAGACCTACTCAGTATGGTGCAACCATAGACCTATAAAGAAATGGACTGGTAGTAGAGAGAGAGGTCCGAATATCGACATCGTTAAAAAAAGACAGAGAGAGTTGTTAGGTTCGTCATGGAAGAAATAATTATATCATGGAGAAATAGTAATATGATAATACCTGATAACGAAATTTTTATATTAAAATGTTTTAATTAATCTTATTATAGTTATTAAAATATTGAAATTTAATTATCATTTAATTATTATACGTTAAGTGAAGGTCAGCCGAAAAATCATATAGGTCCCACTTAACAAAAACCATTCATTTCAAAAATCAGTAAAATGTATTATTCCTTTTTTTATATTTTTTTATTATGATTGTACCTATTATTATTTTTTGTATAATTATTAAACTTTGCGATTTTTTTATTGTTATTATATAATACTTAAATAACATATTTCTTTAAGAAAATAAGTATTATTAAAAAGTACATTATTTTGTGGAAAACGCAAACAAACTTTTATATACATTTTTTTTTTACTGATTAAAGCTAAATAAACCTAAAATTGAATTTTAATTGTGATACCCTATAAAACAGATGAGCTGCGTACTACATATAATGATTTTGTTCTCGAATGAAACCTGTAGGCCTTATTTTTGCTTTATTTTCCCAAAAAGTGTATTTTCATTCATGTTACATATAAATGTGCTCAAACTCTAGCTATATTTTTAAAGATTAATCATGAGATCTTGTACTAATATTTGCTTTGTTTTTTAGAGTTAGTAAGTAGTAAGAAACTGGCTAAGACAGAATTGAAATGGGTGATTATAACCATGGGATGGTGATCAAAGTAGATGAAGAAAATGATGATGTAAAAGAGGAATTTACCGAAACCTTGGTGGAAAAAATTGAACCTTATTATATTGCAAATTCTTCTGACGTTTGTTCTCCAACAACCCACAACAACAGTCTTCAACAAAACACTAATGATGATCCATATAAGTAATGTTTCTTTAGTTTTAAATTGAAGAATTTTAAATACATTTTGTTAAAACATAACAATAACATAGTTGAGTAGGCATTCCGTCACAAATTACTAGGCATCTTTATTCTGATATTGAATTGACATTGGATAACCTGTTGTTAGTGTTAATAATACTATTTATCTGGAATAGACCCGCCTGTAAAATGTTATTATATAAACTTTGACCAACATAGCCTCAAATAAAACTAGGTTATTCAAATAAAAAAATGGTTATTCTTATTTACATTTAAGCTAAGACAACAAATATTTGCTGAAAATAAAATAATAACAATAACAAACAAAATTAATAAAAATATAATGTTTTTAAAATTATTATATTAGTTAAGATTTCTTCCAAATTTTTTAAAATGTGCTTTGATTTTTAGATTTAAAGAAGAAGGAGGCGACCTGAGCATTAAAATTGAAGTAGAAGAAGAAAATGAACAGTCAGAAAGGGAACAAAATACAATCGATGGGAATGCATACTAGTAATATAATTTATAAAATCAAATATTTTAAATAGCAATGTTGTGATCATGGTTAAAAAACCTATTATTAATATTGATATTTCTTTTTTTAAAAGAAGGATACCAAAATTTACAGTTATTTTTTAAATACTAATTTAACAAACTCTTTGTGCGACTGATAGCGTCTATTACATAATTCTATTTTGGTATCCTTTGCTCATACCAGATGTTCTCTTTTCCTTATTTTGAGCCTAATCATACATTTTTTTTTTTTAGTTTTGGAAAAATATGGAATGAAACGTTGGTCAAAATTGAAGTAGATTTGGACGAAATACAGTCATTTATTTGTGAATTATGTAAAAAGTCTTTTATTACAAAAAAGAGAGTGGCCCAACACATATCTCAATTACATAGTGCACATTCAACCGTCCAGAAGAATTTTTCATCTAAATCCAAGAACACAGAACACCGACGCGTGCACTCTGGTAAAAAGTCATACAAATGTGACGTATGCCTAAAGCTCTTTTCTGTCAAGTACAACCTCAAAATACACAAACGAGTGCACACAGGAGAAAAGCCCTACAAATGTGACTTATGCCTGAAGTCCTTTTCTGTAAAATGCCACCTCACACAACATGAAAGCGTGCACACTGGTGAAAAGCTCTACAAATGCGATGTATGCCTAAAGTCATTTTCTCAGATATCGGTACTCGCAACACATAAACGCGTGCACACGGGTGAAAAGCCCTACAAATGTGACGTATGCCCAAAGTCTTTTTCTGTAAAATACAATCTCAGCATACACAAACATGTTCACACAGGTGAAAAGCCCTACCAATGTGCGTTGTGCATGAAATCTTTTTCTGTAATTTCGAACCTCGCACAACACGAACGCGTGCACACCGGTGAAAAACCTTACAGTTGTAACGCGTGTTCAAAGACATTTTCTCAAAAAGCCCACCTCGCACAACACAAACGCTTGCACACTGGTGAAAAGCCCTTCAGTTGTGACATGTGCTCTAAGTCATTTCCTCAGTCATCGGCACTTAGAGTACACAAATGCGTTCACACTGGCGGAAAGCTGTAGTAATGTGCTGTGTACTTGAATTCATTTACTAGAAACACAACATTTAGTTTTCACACATTTTCTAGAATAATCATTAATGTACATTTTTTAGACTTTTTAACTATCAGTTTGTAAATTAATAGAGTACAGTACCTCTAGGTGTTTAAGTGATTTTATGTTAAAGACAAGATAAATGTGTTTTATAGTTGATTAACTAAACAGAATTTCTTTTGCGATTGTTTGAAATGTGTTATTTATATTTTAATAGCGTTTCTCATATTTTGTTGAATTTATTTGATAATTTAATTATTATAACAAATTTGAATATATGTTAGGTAGGATTTACATTGATTCAATTATGTTGACATGACGTCTTACTTCACAGGCTCACACGCACGAATAGTGAGCGTTAAGAAATCATCTTAAAATGTTCCTGTGAAATTATTAATGATACAATTGAGTTCCATTATCATTAGGTAACTTAGATTAGATACCTACCTTTGTTAGCTTGATCGATGTAGTTACACAACACAAGACATTTTGGTTGAAAAATACATTATCCATTTTTGCAGTGTTCACTTTATTTTTATGTAAATTTGTTTTATTATCATTTTAGGTTTTTCTTCAAACTTCTTTTTAGTAGTAAAAAAAAAAAATTATCCAGAGAATACTTTAAAATAATTAATATTAAAAAAAACATTTAACATTATTTATTATATTTAAGTAATAATAGAAGATAATATTATTATTTTATTAACAAGGCATCTGACGAAGTATTTGAAAATTTCTAGTGTTGCCTTTCAGCCGTTAAAAATTAATGTATTAATTCATCACGATAAATGTTCAAATGGTTGTTCTTACAAGGATAAATGATTTTGAAATACAAACCAAACAGTTAAACTAACAATAATAGGTTAAGTATATTGACTTTATATTGTGTTTATTTATCCAGCAGTTACCAGATATAAAAGTAGCAAAAATAGTTTTTTTTTTTTTTTAAATACGTAAAATAAGTTAATAAATATTTACTATGTGATATAAAGAGATGTCATTATTTATTTACATGTTAATAATTTTGTAATTATTTGCATGGCCTATTCAAAAATATCTAAAAAGTTGTTAACACTTAAATTGATATCATTGAATTTATCTTAGATAAAAAAAAATGTATACATCAATAAAATTGCCAATCACAAACATTGGTTATTATTATAAGAAAAATATATTTTATATATTATATATAAGGGTAAAAAAAAAGGTTTACATTATGATAATTAAAAATTCTTATAATAATAAATATGTTAAATTAAATAATTATAGGAGCTCTCTACACACAAATGAAAAAAACATTCATAACTAGTTACAATAATTTTAATTAGTTTGACAACTGTGAGTAGATCAGTTTGTAGCCTAATCTGATTGGAGTGCGTTAATGGTTCAATCACCAGTATGACGGTCAACTCAGATCTAACTCTGCATTACGTTGTGTCCGTCTTTGATCGCTTTGGTCATTGACGACATGATGTGGATTTTTTGTGAAAAAGACTTAAAGCACACAAAATATATACCGTGTGCTTAAAGTCTTTTTCTCAAAATTCCCACTTCATCTTCAAGACGACCATCTATTTGTTTTTATGCGCTTCATACCTTTCAAACCATTGACACTGCAACAGAACAATATTTACAAGGTATAAAATAATGAATACTCTTTTAAAAATAATACACTAGTATAATTAGCACAAATATAAAATACAAACATAGCTCTAGTAATTTTCCTTCACCGAAAAATAATAACAAATTTCAATTTTTCACTATATCATAATTAAAGATACAAATAATAATTATTAACATAATAAAATATTTTGTTTAAATCTTCTTTATTTACTGACTGGCAAACATACATTTATAATTGTCAAGAAAGAAACATTAAATATTACATTAACAAACAAATCTCACAATGTCTTTTGCGTTTCTCATAAAACACTAGTAAATAACCATTTATTGGGTTAGTTAATAAAACCACTCTGCCTCTTACAATCATACTTAAGTAATATAAAACATCAAGTCATAATCTCCAGAAGTTATCCTCAGTGGAGAGTTGGAACATTATTTTTAAATATTATAATATACCTAATCTCGTTGAAGAGCGACGTTTGGTTCATGGCTTTATATCCGGTACGACGGTTCTCTCACAGCTAACTCCGCCAATAAGTTGTGTCTGTAGTTGTCGCTGTCACGAAGTGGGTTTTTTTTTGAAAATGACTAAGAACACACAAATATAAAAGTATGTTCTAAGTCATTTTCTGAAAAATCCCACTTCAACCAAAAGATAAATGACAATTATCTATTCTTTGGCAAGTCCGAAAAACACATATTATAACTATGGCTATGAAATATGGGCATCACCTCTACAGCCCTTTACAGCGCTTCTGACTCTCTCAAGTCTTAAACTAACGTATGTAAATAATTTAGGTTGTTTGTAAAATTTGTACAAACCCGTAAACAGAACATTAATTAATTCATTAAAATATATCAATAAAACGATCAAATCAATGATAATATTTTTTTATAATATGCAAACACACAACATTGAACATTTTTCATGCAGATCAGAGTCACTTTAAAGAAGACATAGATATGTTATAATAAATACTACTATCTACTTGAAAGTGATGTACACACACACATGGAAAACATTAACATTTAAATAGAGCCTATAACGTTGTTCACCATTATCGCCTCTTCGACTGATGAAAGCGTTTCTCACTCTGTAAGCCTTTGAATATGGAACGAATGTACGAACCCGAAAACTGTAGATTCACAATAGAATTTTAATAGAATGAATAAATAAATAAAAATCGCCGTTCATCACCAACCCGGTACTTACCTACTATTAAACAGCCACGATGAGGTCGCCGGTTACGGCTCTGATCCTAAAATTTAAAACAACGGGTATAAAAAGCACACAATTCTAAATCTAATATTATGAGTCAAACAAATAATTATGTAAGCAGACGATTATTATTCATTTTCCGTCACTTTGGACGACACCATGGAGTATGGACAAGTACCTTAACCGGGCGAGACATAAACACATTATATATTACACAATACACATTACTGACGCTACAGCTATATAACTAAACAAGTGCCTACTTGATAATGATGAGCGTCACTTGTGTGACGTGGATGCGTTTCATAGGCTCTGTCATGTAACAAAAACACGGTTACCTCTCATTACTTATAACCGTGGTTACGGTTATATGGTGCGAATGCCGGCGTCGTAGGTGATAACAGCGGCTGGAGGTAGAATGTAGTGGATGTAATATATGATAAGAGCAGCCAGAGGTTCCCAAAATATTAAGAAAAAATAAAATCATTAAATATACCTACTTCTATATTGGCTATTGCTTTATTGTGCTTAGAAAATAATTATTATGTTTTCTAATTAAGAAAACTATTAGAATACTTGGGCCCTTTAGATACTATTTATCAAGACGGAAGGAGTTTCTTGTGGGGGAGGGTGCTTAAACAATGACAACTTATAAAATACACATAATATAATATCATGCTTTTTTTGGACTTAGAAAAAAAATCCTAAAAATACTTAGTGACCGATGAAACCTTCGATATTAGTCTCATTCGAAAGCTAAGAACTTCTACTATTTTAGTATGTAAGTTTCAAAAGTCGATATTGACCGGAACGTATTACTAGGTGCATTTGAACTCAAACAGGTATACACAACACACATAATATTACCTATAGTACAATGCTTTTATATGGCTATGGTTGGCCAACAAAATAGATAAAAGCAGAAGGGTCACTTTCAATGTAAACATAAAAGTTACGACCATTTTGTAAAGACTTATTTGGTATTATGTATTTTATCTTTACACAAACTTAAAATGATTATGTACAGATATAACAATATTGTAGTGGTGTAGCCTTAAGAAGATGATCAAAGTTCAAAAATTGATTAATTAATAATGAAATATGAAACCATAATAAGATATTATATTATTATATTATTTATATTAGTTTTATCTTATCTGTTCTATTAGTTTTAAATATTTCTTAGAAAAAAAATCTTATGATACCTATCTAAAATCAATGTTTGTATTTGAATAAAAATTAAACTTAAGTAGTACATATTTAAAAGTCAATAACATAATATTTTAGTTGCAATACTATGTAAAAAAAAAAAAAAAATTACTATTATATCTATACCCAATAACCAATTGTTAATCATTTTTAAAATGCAGAATTATTTTAAGTTTTTAACTTAAGCCGTCAAAGAAAGTGACTTGCATGTTGGCATAAATACTTAAGAGGACAGTTCCCGTTTATTTCTAAGGAGTAAGGATAGGCAATTTTTTCGCAAAATCTTAATTTAAAACTTGAACTATAGTATACACTTATTTAGTATTTACAATAATTGGGATTCTTTATTGATTGCCATTTTATTTTTGTCAGACTATCGTAGTCATTTCTATAGGATAAATTATTTTGAACAAGTAAAATACCATTTTACTTGATCTACACATTCTACACGATGACAATATTTTAATAACAAATTCTTTATTGTGAAATGTTTCAAATGTGTGTATCATACACGTACTAATGTATAAAGCAATGTTAATATATGTATAGTATTTTATAGAGGTCATATAATTTACTCGTATTCATTTATCGTTCAAATAAACAATATTATGCTAACTAAGCTAAGTTTTTATTTATTTAAGAAAATACTCAATTTGAAACATATATTGTTATCTAAAACGGATAATAGTAAAAAGGTCACACAATTTTCTCATGTTCATCTATAGTTCAATTATATAATGTTATGGTTATTATTCGAAGATTTCAAATAAAAACACTTTTTAAAAAACATTTTATAAAACACTATCTATGTTAGTTAAATTATTTAAAATGTGAGTCTGGGACTGCTGAAGTCCTTCTAGCACCCCACTAGTTGCGCCTATGTAAATAACTAGGTAATAAGTTAATTAAACATAATATTATATGTTTGCAATTTATATTAGAAGAATGTTCTATTATTATCTAGTATTATTTACAACTATAAATCTGAAACCAGAAAAATCACAAAGTACCTTATTATATGAACTCACAAAAAAAAAAAAACGAATGTAGTTCAATATTAATTAATAGCTCTATTATTATAAATATAATAGCTCTTCAGAACAATTTTGTCTACACTACTTGTTAATTAGTAGAATGGCTACAAATAGTGCGTTACTCCCAACCACTGATTAACATTAAATCTAATATACATTTAGTAATCGCGGAAATAGACAGCTCTAAAAATATGTATATACATATATTTATATATTATATTATATATTATTTTAATTATAATAACTGAACAGCATATGAAGTTTATATTCGTAATTAATAGTTTGGATTTGGGTCAAATGTGAATTTAGTAATAACAAAATAACCTCTCTTATTTACTAGTTAGTACATTAACGACTTTAATTAAAATATAAGAATCAAGCTGTATCGTATATTCCCTATATAGTGGGCTTAGACATTAGAATCTTTGATTCGCATACAATTGTATAATAGAATATATATATATTCTAATCTATATTAAATCTAATTATATATTGTATAAATGCACTTTATGTCTCATTGATATCACTTGAATACGAAAAGAGTTATAAAAATAAAACAATAGTTTTTGTGTTATAACCGCATAGGTACATAGGGCATATAATACAATATATATTTACATGTATATTAATATTATATCTACATCAATAGGGTTTATTCAGTTATTGAAGTGTTTTTCTACAATGAGATTTCAATTTTTCGCTAAGTCTTATGTTTTAAACCCCCTTCCAAATTGGTTATTTTTATATAAAACTTTTAATACTTAAACGGTAACGTATACATTTTCTTAACTTTATAAATTAAGAATAGTTTACTTACTTTCAGACCACTCTTTTTGCGGATCGTAACAAGTTTGAGGCTGGTCCGTGATAATATTAGTAATACTGTATTATTTCTATTGTTAATTGTTAAATTAGTTTATTAATTTTTTTTTTTTATAATAAAATCGAATAAAAAAACTGTGTCTTTCAATGTATAAAAATTGTGTAAATTAAACTATAACTTTTTTCAATTACATTAGTTTAAATTGGTCACTTTATTTTTCAAAATGTTTAATACAAACAAATTATTTCAATTTTAAAATAGTGCAATTTCGTGTATTGCTGTCACAATTATTCTTACGGTAATTACACGACCTACAGCGATTGAAATTCAAAAAACAGCAGTTAATCGTCGCTTTTAACTTGACCGTATAGTGACTAGTATTGTGATTTTTGACTGATAATTATTGTTTTTTACGGTTATAATCATTATTAGTACATAGTTTAGTTAATTGTTTAACAACTATGTCGGTTATCTTTGGCCGGACACACCACTGTTTACATGGTAGCAATAAATAACAGTACAAGATTTACATTATTTTTAAATAACATAGTTTAAGTTCCAACAGTTTTAGAGCCTTAAATATTAATAGTAATAGAGCCTTGAATATTTACAAATGCAGAGTTCTGTATGAGCATCCTTGTCAAGAACTAGAGGGCAAAACGAGTCAACATTCAAAGGGGGGGAAACAATTGAAGATCTCGAATATTATTTGAGAAAGATAAAGTATAGGCGATAGAGTATATTTTTGTTAAAAATATAATACAGTATTGTGAAACACAAGTGGCATACTATGGCAATAATATGCAAACTAATATAAAGCAACAAGCCATTGGATAACGATAACGACTACATACATGCTTATGCGTTTTCTTTTAATCTAACAAAATATAACATATATTATAGCGGATAATTATTCTTTAATTGACGTCAGCTAATTAGGCGGAAAAAGCAACTGCTATCTACAACGTTTTTTTTTTTATGAAAACGTCAAACCGTTGCACCGAATAGCTGTTGATAAATAATAATATTATACTTTAATTGATGGTTTTATGATAATAGCGACATTGATTTTAGTATATAAATTATTCTAAAATCAATGCTACCAGTCACCGGGTTGTGAGTCAAACGTGCACACGTTTGTAATTGTGTGTTATTTTTACAATATTTAAAGCCAAAAAGACCGGCCGTTATATTCGACCGTCATGTCAGTCGTCCATGCTGCATTTGAATCTGCCGGCAAAACAGCTGGACTAAAGATCTGGAGAATAGAAGTAATATACTATTATTTATAAACCATATCATCATAAGTTATTTAAATCGCCTACAAAAAAGGGAAAAGACCGTATTTGATTTATAGTCTTTCAACGTGACCATAGTCCAGTGCTTGGAAAATTCTTTCAAATAAGGAACTGGTTCATGTTCATGCTAGATTATGTATATTATGATTACTTATTATACCGAAAAATATTACCGTTTATAACTATAACAGCTATAAATGATTATCCAGTAATTAAATTTCAACAATTTTTGTTTAAATTAAAAATAATTGTTGCATGCGCAAAAAAAAAGTTATTACCAATAAGCTTCTTCTTGGACAATAATTCAACCAATACATTTGACTATAAAGGATATAATTTTATTTTAAAATTTCCACATGACAAATGGTAATTTTCGGTACTTTAGATTAAGATGATCACTTGGCAATAAAGGTATATGTGCGACAAAACTTAGAAAACAATTTAAGGTTAGTAATAGGGGTTTCTATTATAAGTAGGTATTTTCAAAACTTTCATCTTTTGAGTTTTGTACATTATCGTACCTAAATATTATTTTTTTCTTCTTCAAATTTACCTCAAAGTTAAAATTTGTTTCTTTTTTTTTTATTCTCATATAAGTATACATTTAAGAAACATAATATACTTAATAACATACCTATACAGTCAAAAGGCACACAGCATTGTTACTATTTTTGATTACTGTTACATTCAATTAAAAAATACTAATTATTAATTAATAATATAAAAGGTTTCTCCTTAATGCTATTCCATAAAGTTTAAATAATACAAAGCAGGGTAAAAAATTTGTTTTATTTTACTATCATTATCACTGTATTCAATTAGGGTTTTGTTAAAATGGGATTTTCAATGTTATTTAAGTGTGAGTGTACCTAATCATCTTCTCATTTATATCGAATAATTTATTGTTTATCTTGTACAATTTTTAACATAAATGTATAAGACAGGTATATTTTATACTTATACTACCTACATAAGTAGTGTAGTGTATATTAGCTTACCTTTGCATGCCATGAAAAATCGTTGACAACAAATTGTTTTATTTCAGAATTTCGAACCAGTACCGTATCCAGTAAAAGATTATGGAAAATTCTATACCGGAGATTCGTACATCGTTTTGAATGTAAGAATTCACAAAAAGAAACATTGGTGGGCAACAATTATTATACTAACCAATAATCTTAACGGTTTACATTTTTCAGTCAAACGGGAATTCCGACATATACTACTGGTCTGGAAGCGAATCTTCACAAGTGTGTAATCATATTTCATGGCTTATTTTACACGTATACGTATTTTCAATAAAGAAATATCTTTTTATTTTATCAAGGATGAAATCGCATCAGCAGCTATGCATGCTGTGCAACTGGATGACGCTCTCGGAGGTGCACCAGTCCAGCATAAAGAAACTCAGGATCACGAGAGCCATGCGTTTTTGTCTCTTTTTTTACCTTGTAATTATACTCCAAAATATTGGGTACAACCAATGCCTACCTAAAACGCTCATTAATTTTCTTCTCGTTTTAGCTATCCGTTATTTGCCCGGTGGTGTAGCTTCGGGATTCCACCATACGGAAATCAATCCTGGCGGCGAGAAAAAACTGTATCAAATCAAAGGCAAAAAGAACGTTCGAGTCAGGCAAGTAGCTCCAAATGTGTCGGCGATGAATCAAGGCGATTGCTTTATTTTGGACACCGGTAAGGAAATTTACTTGTACGTTGGACCACAAGCAAACGGAACAGAGCGACTCAAAGCCATCAGCGTTGCTAATCAAATTAGAGATCAGGATCATCTGGGAAGAGCCAAAATAAATATCGTTGGTTAGTGAACTAATAAACATTAATATTGTAGGCTAAAAAATGCATATGTTTTTTAGGGCGTTTTTTGTTTGGCTCCATAAAGTATACCTTTCGCGGTCAAAAATGTAGTTAAGTCAATATATATATAAATATTATTTATTTTGTAGACGGATCTAGCACGCCAGAAGAAAGCGACCAGTTCTTTGAGCAATTGGGTTCAGGATCGGCCGACCAAGTAGCACCGGCTGTCGATGACGATGTAGAATTTGAAAAGAAAGAAGCTGTTAGTGTATTAGAAAATAAATTTAAAATTTAACCTATAGTTTACACTCATTTACAATATTATTGATTAGATAACACCGGTTTTGTACAAAATAACCGATTCACAAGGTGGACAAATTTCATCAGAAAGAGTCAATGAAAAACCACTTCTCCGATCTCACTTGGAAACCGACGTAAGTACGGCGTACATGGAAAAAAGTACTTCTGAATATTAAAAACTCATCTTTTCAAGGACTGTTTTATTTTGGATACGGTTTCTTCTGGTGTATACGTGTGGATCGGCAAAAAAGGAACGTCTCAAGAAAAAGTGGAGTCCGTGAAACGAGCGCAAGCTTTCATCCTGGAGAACAATTATCCTGCTTGGACAAGAGTACGCTTATTAGATATATTTTTTTAATTTTGTATACAAAATGATTGCATACTATTTATGCACGCTTAATATAGGTTGTAAGAGTTGTCGAGGGCAGTGAACCAACTGCGTTTAAACAATATTTCGAAAATTGGAAAGACAATTGAGGAGAGATGAAGGTGGATTCCATTTGAAATAAAATATACATATAGAATATATGTAGAATGTTTTGAGTTTTTTTTTTAAATATTACTAAAATAATAAGCGTATTTAAATTTGTTATATGTTATTTTAAATACATGTATTAGTTTTAAATATTGTGTTATGGTCTTGTTGAAGATATTTATGAATTTATTTGCTGGGAATTGACAAATTTACTAAGAATGCCATAAAGTAAAAAAAAAATTATTGAAATTAAAATGATATCTATCTAAATGTAAATATATATATATTTTTTTTATATTTATAAATGATTAACAAACCATATGTAATGTATTGCAAATATTATAAATTTTACACATTTATTATGTTGAATAAAATATTATTTTAGTTATATTATATATAAAAAATTCTCATTTATTAGCCATAGGTTTTAAGACGGTTTTTTAAGTATGAGCTATTAACAGATAGTCTTAATAGGTCTTGTATGACGGAAACGTACACAAAAGCCAGCCAAAAGTATTACAATTAATATGCTCCACTTAACAGAATGCTGTTAAATTGTTACTTAGTTAATGATTTCTACTTTTTTTTAACCAGTTCAGTCAAGTTAATATTAGGATCTAGTACGTTGTTTATTTATTATTGTTGTTTTATCATACATAAATGCATGCAACAAACAATATACATTTATCCAAAAACAACATATTTTAACGCATATGTAACAATTGTGGTGTAAAAACTAAAAATTCAACGAAATTTCATATACAGAATTTAAAAAGTTGCAAATTTTTTTCCACAACATATGACCTAGTACAAAAATAAATAATATATCGGTACCATTCCCGCTATTGATGTTAACACCTTTTCGTCGTTTACCTTTTGGTTATTCAAATATACGCTAAACACACGTGGTATTCATCACCAAATCACGCACAGTAATTAGATTTTTTACAATTTACATTTATCTGAACTTTTTCCAATTTTACACCGCCCCCTTCCCCCTCAAAACGAAAAATAAACAAAATTATTGCTGATTGGTAGACTTGCTGATAAAACAAATCAAACCAGCGGTTTTTAAGTTATATACAGGCAAGAAGTACATCAGGTTTGTACTGAAGTTAAAAATACTATCTAGCGAATAGACAAAAAAAATGTACACAAAATAATCGAATAAATAAATTAATAATTAACGACTGTTCAACATCAACTGTTAAACAGTTTAACATCAAACAACTTAAGTTTTATTAATTGTTATAAATAAATATATAGCATGCAATAAATATTTCACAAAATAATGATTACAAAAAAAACTAAATAATTAATAGAAAAAAGTTTTCTAGATTGGCTCAATGACAACGTATTTACATAATTTACAAAGATAGTAAGAAATCAGGATTACTATTTACAATGCGCGTTAAGGGAATGAAGAGAATAGTTAGTAGAAGTGGGAGGAATGAAAAAAGGAGCAGTGTTTCGAGTATGTCGAGCGGAAACTCAGAAAGTTCACTTTGAGAGTAAGACAGGGGAATCTATCTTGCCAAATATTATTATTTAAAGGAAACGTTGTAAGAGATCTTGAATGGGAGTCAAGTCGTGGTGAGAATGCGGAATTTTTAAGAGATTGATGCAATAGGGTGATAATGGATGAAATACGATGGACATGAGTATTAGAAATCCGGAAAAAAATATTTTTTTGTCATTTTAAAATATTAAATGTCTAACCAATTGATTCAGCCCAATTAACTAGGCGATTAACATCAGTTTGTTGTAAGTACTAGTAAATTTGGAAACTTGAATGTCAATAAAATATTCAAATAAATATAATTTATATTATTTAACAAACGTTATTTAAACTTTTTAGAAACATTGTTATTTAAGCATGACGCAAATGGCAATGTTATTTGGAAAATAACAGAACGTACACGTTTTAAAAAAAAACCCATGTGTTGTCCGACACATTTCGTTAGAAATAAACAATTTTGACTAGCGTTGCATGAAGTTATTGTACAATATTTGAAACATTCTTGTTATTATTCGATAACAATAAGTCAAAATGTTAAATATATTATTTAACCTATAATTTACGGTGATTAAGTAACCTTTTAAAAAATACAAGGATAATCCAACTAAAATTATAGTTGATATAAGGGCACAATAAATTTCTAGTTGGACTGAGTTACTATAAAGTTGGTCTAAATTAAAATACGCTTATTTAAGAGGCTCAATTAATTTCTAGTTGAAATAACTAAATAAAAATGTGTTCCTGTAATCATTTAGTTCAGCCAAATTAAAGCTCGATGTAATAATATATTTAACATTTTGACTTATCGTGTTTGAAAAATGTTAGGAATATTTTAAATATTAAACGATATTTTCATGCAATGCTAACCAAAATTGTTTATTGCTAACAAAATATTTTATCCGGCTCATATGTTTTTTTAGAAACATGATATGTTTGTTATTTACCAAAAAACAATGCCATTTGCGTCATACTTTTATAGCACTGTTTCTACATAGTTTGAAAAACATTTGTTAAATAATGTAAATTATATTCATTTGAATATTTTATTGACATACAAGTTTCCAAATCTACCAATTTTAAATGTTTTTAAAAAGGAAATCTAAGATTTAAAATAATTTTAGAAAAAATTGTCTTATCCTTAATGAATAATTTGTATTCAACATAAAACCCATACTTGTTATACTTATACTATTGATTTATATAAAACCTTCCTACACAGAAAAAATATAATGTTATAATAATAACGAATATAATGTTATACAAAATTTTGACTTATTGTGTTTGAAAAATATTAGTTAAAAATATTAATTTTACACAATGCTTAAGCAGTGTTTTTCGCAACGTCTATTCGATAAGTTTTCCGGTAGTCGTCAAAATGATTATTTTTTTTGTTCTCCAATTTTTGTTATGCTAACATATAAGTAAAAAGGACTACAACACGAAATTAATTTAAAAAAGAAATCGACAATAAATCATTTGTTAAAAAAAATATTTAATACGATTTTAGAAAACCCAATGAGCGATGAGCAATGAGCCATATTAAAAACAAGAAAGATTGAAAACTTCAAAATTTAGTTCTCGTTTGGACTTGTTAGCTCATTGTATAATTACTTATTGTCATATCAAAGTAGCCATTCAGCTAGCACTTATTATTAAAATAAGTTATTGAAAATGTCATATGCCATCTGGACGCCATTTATCGGCTGCTTACATTATCGGCGCAGCTTATTTTTACAGCAGATTGTTTCTCAATATATATACACATATATATACTATATACACAATGGTAGTATATATATTATTTATATTATTATATAGTTAATTTTTATGTGTTGGTCGTTTTAACTAGGTTTTGGGCCGTTTCACATTCCTATCACGACACTTGTTAATAATTTTCGAAAAAATTCTTGAAGCAATACTTTGTATTGTAAATAACATTTAAACATTATACTATTAAATAAGTAAATTAAAATTATGAAAGACGATCCAGAGTTTAATATTAATTTTGTTGGACACGTTGAGAGTCGTCGATGTTTGTATGACCTTCACCATTCAGACTTTTCTAATAGAACAATACAGGATCAAGCTTGGGAAAGTATAAGCCGAGAAGTTCAAGGAACAGGTTAGTGTTTAATTATTTTTTTTTAGAATCATTAAAATCAAACAGTGAAAAAGTAATAATTTATAATTTTATTTTAAAAAAAATTGTATATTTTATAACAATTAAACAACCATATGCAACGATGCATATGGTTTAAAAAAAAAATTACACATTTTATCTCTAGGTTCGATTGCTGAATTTATATATGAATTTTTTTAGTATTAAAATACCGATTCGGATATCGATTTTTTAAATTTAAATTACCTATAGTTGAATATACTAATATAATAATTAGATTTTGTTAACTGTGGAAATGCCTCATCCGTAACAAAATAAAATGGATAAGGTGGTTCGTTTTATTCTACTGGCTAAGTCGCTGGTTTCGGTAAATCTAGATCCCTTTTTAGTATTTGTTGACCAAAAGAACATTCCTTTAAGACTCGTCAACCTCTATTCCAGCCATATTCTCCGATATCTATTGTTTTAAATTTTCTTTCTGCACCTACTGTTGCCTACAACCGAAAAAAAGCCTTTATACTTATAAAACGTTGATCCGGAGTTCGCTGGTCCTTTGACACGTATATGTTTTCCATCAATGCTGCCGACACAATTCGGTAAATTCCATAATTCTTGATAGCGTTTAGCTATATACAATATTTTAAATGTCTTATGAAGGCTTTGGCATGTATAGAGGCTGTAAAACCTTCCATATCACTTCACTTGTAGTTTCAACTATGTTTTGTACAGTAGTTTCACCTCTTAAAAAATAGTAAGAAATAGCTTTCATAGAGGAATCACCAGCAAAATATCTAAATAAAAAAAAACTAAATAAGAACATTCGTAAATATAAATATATTTACTAAACTAATTAACTTAATTAAACCGTTAAATGAATAATTTACTTATATAATAATACAATTAGGTATAAGGTCGTCATAATTTTCAATTTTGACTTGTTTTAATTAAAATTGTTCACAAGTTTCAAGTATCGTGTATTATAAATACTAAATTCATTATTTAATATTTTTAGTATCGGAATGTAAAGAAAGGTATAAGAATCTTCGGGCGTGTTATACCAGGTATTTAAAAAATAAATTACCATCAGGATCAGGGGAAAAATTCAAACGACCATACTATTTGTCAGAGTATATGCAATTTTTAGAGCCATTTACAAAAACTCGGAAACAAACTGGTTTGTAGAAAAACATATTTTAATGTTTTGTAAGCAATATGTTAGTAAAAATATTTATGTGTGTCTAGTTAATATATCACCAATATCAACAGTAGAACAGTCAGAACTCGCAGAAAACATTATCGAAAATGATGATTGCAATTATTTGCCTAATGTTATCCCAGACACTGACGAAGAAGAGCTTTCTGAAGATGTCGAAGATAATCAACCAATAAAAACCTGCAAAATAAAGCCCATCTTGATAAAGAAACGTCAATCGGTCCAGTTGGATGAAGTTAACAAAGCTGCATATGATTTCTTTATAAGCAAAAAGAAAAAAATGGTGCCTGAAGAAGACA